TTTGAAATGGAAATACTGCTCCTCAGAGTACCTACCTACTCTTCTCAAGGTACCTGCCTGTGGATAAACCCCAAGATACTTTTATCATGTGCCAGAAAACCTCATTATTTAAAAATATTTAATGACAGCACCATTTTGCTAGATAAAAAGCAGGAGTTGACATTTGGGAACGCCACTGTAGCAGATTTTGAAGATTTCTGCTTTAGGCCAGGTTTTCTGGCTCTAAGAGGCCTGTTGTGAGCCATGGTACAATGTCTGTCCAGGCTGCAATGCATGGAAAAATAATTACTACCACATGTAGCAATTGGAGCTGTGTCTCATTAATCTGGAGTGTGCAAGAGGTCAGCCTGTCCCTCCGAGCACTGAGCTGCATAAGCACTTACAGTGTCAGTAAGGCTGTTACAGCCTGGTAGCTTTGGGCTGCGTGAATCAGGAATACTTCGGTCTGGGAAATGAGGTAGCTCTTGCTGAGAGCTTTCCTGCCGTACTGTTTGAATACATAGGGCAGATGTCTCCCTTTTACCCATTTTCCATCTTTGTAGCTGTGCTAATTCATCCTGATACAGAGGAGAGCCAGCTCAACATCAGATGACTCAGTAACTGAGGTCAACTGCAGTTATAATAAGAATATGTGTGAATTATGTCTCAGCTAACCAGTTCCAGGAATCTCAATTAATTTAGGAGCCATTCTGGGTGTGACTGATGAGATCTTGAGCAACTGTTTATCAGTCAGTGCTGCAGTTTCCCTTTAGTAAGTGTCACACAGGCTGTCATTTGCGTTTTCCTCATCTGTGGCTAAGCCAATCAATAGGAAGGGTGTAGAGGCACCAGTTGTAAACAAAAAAGCTGCCCCCGACCCCTCCAGAATCCCATTTTTATGCTTTTTCTCTGTTTCATACTACCCTTTTTGCTCCTTGGGCACTTCTCCCTCTTTTGCAGCTGGAGATGGCCCTGGGTCACAGCCTACCCAAGGCCCTGGCGTCTGTCTCAGTGTGTGGGAAGACATCTCCATCTCGTGGTCAAATTGTGCTGAGCACAGCTGACAGCGAAGAGGGAAAATCGGCTGTTTAGGGCTGTTACAGAGAGCCTTGAGGCAGGAGCACACTGTGGTGTGCACAGACGGTGTGGAGTTCTGCACTGCTTTCTGCTGTGACTAACCTGTTCCCCAGCAAAGGCACAGGACCGTGTGGAGTAGCCAGGGCAGGTTTGGATGCACTTCATGCTCTGATTGACTCCTTTGATTTTGGCAGGGCTGTGAGGGAGCTGGAGGTCCAGCTGGAATACGAGCGAGTCAGGCGGGAGAAACTGGAAAGCCAACTGGATGACTACCGAGCAGAGATAAGCCACCTTAGAGAGCGCCTGGAGAAAACCCGCACCCCCCCTGCTCTCCCCCTGGTGAGTGCCACACAAACTCCCCCAATGCGTGAGACAGAGGCTACTGCCCAATGCTGGCACGTGTTTGTTCTCACTAAGATTCCCAGGGATGGTGCTAGGAGACACTGGAGTAAATGTGTTAGCAGCTTTTAGCTTAGGGCACTGAAGTGAGCAGTAGCCTTTGACACGTCCTGCCAGAGTCTCTGCTGTGAAAGGATATCAGTTTCTTTTTGTACCCTGGCAGAGAAGCACCGATATCCTTCACCTTCATATTAACAGAAGGGAGTGGACTGCTCCCTGAGTACTTCCATGCTGCATATGCAGTGACTGACAGTTTGTCTTGGCTGTTACCTCACATCTGAGACTGGACTGGCGCTCAGGAGAGGTGGTGTCACCACCTAAAGGGTTACCTGGCCTGTGGGTGTGTAGAGATCACAACTGTGGGTTTGCAGAATTCTGTAAGCCACATGGACACAGAGGATTTTATCCTATAAATTTCTCTGCTTTATTACAGATTACCACAAACACCACAAAAATCACCACTAGCAAGTATACCTATGATTTGTAAAGTGAAGATATATAAATATGTAAAGTGATATATATATCAAGCTATTACCAAATCCTGTTAGCAATCAATAATATAGTATCAGTCAACAGCACGGTAGCAATCAACGGTAAAGCAACAATCAACAGGACAGCAATAACCAAGTGGGTATATACTACTGCTTTCCACTAGAGTGGAAGAGTGGCTGTAGTTAGCTTTTCCACCAGTAGCAGCCTCAAAAAGCCCAGTTGGGCATTAGGTTAACTGGCTGGGACTGGAGACAACTTTTGTTGAGGCAGGCTTGTTTTAAAAAACTTCTGCTCTAAGTGACTGCTACAGCCAAGGGGCTTCAAATCTTAGCCTGCTGTGACTGCCATCCCTTGCCCTGGGACTACACTCTGCCCTCAGCTTCAGTTTGAACACAATATTCTGTCGTTACTCAAAGACATATATTTTTAGATCCTGTCTTACGAAGTAGCAGGTTTAAGGGATTGGTATTTAATGGCTGCAATGTCCTTTGTTTCAGGAAGCTGAAACCATATCCAAGTCTTGCAAAGAGAAAAAGAAAGTAAAGAAGAAACCAGCGTGCAGCCCTGGAGGAGTGTTTGTGAGACTGCGGTGAGGAATGAACCTGCAAGGAGGGGCAGGCAGACCGAGGAGGCAGAATGGCAATATTCTAGACAATGCAAAATGTTTGCATAGCCCATCTCCACAGATGAGTTGTGGTTCTCTGCATTTCATTGAATTTTAGTTCTCTGGGACAGAAAATATTTTTAAATCACAGCAGCAGCATTTTTTGGATTAAAAAATAAAAAAGGCAGAAGGATTTCCCTTCCTGGATGGGTAATAGTTTAGCAACAGCTGTGCAAATTAGAAGGTGGCATTTCAAGAGTTAACTGCAGCAATGTCATAGGCACTCCTAGGTCTGAGAAAACTACCCCAGTGCTATTTTTAAATTCTTTTCCCTTTGGAGCCCTCATCATGCATAGTATTTTAAGAGTTTTGATTTCAATAAAAAATCCAGAAATCCTTGCACTGTAACACCAATTTGCTAGTGCTTGAATCCTGATCCATCCTTTCCTTAGTTACCAAAGGTAACTTCATCTCTGAGAATTTCAAAGGTACTGAAAAAAAAAATCAATTTGTTCTTGTGTGCACAGACTGAGGGAGAAACACGCTGAGTAACAGCATAAGCCTTCTACTGGAGCTGAAGAGGAGAAATCCAATCTCTAGAGCCCACTTCACTGTGTAGGGGATGACGGTGATGAGAAGCTGCAGTAGACGAGCTATTTCCTACATCACCAGTGGTGCTCAATTCTCACGTAAGAACAGTGTGAAAGACCAACCTGAATCATTCCACAGCCAAGGAAGAGCAACAAAGCTGGGGAAGAGGCTGGAGCACAAGTCTCATGATGAGCGGCTGAGGGAGCTGGGGTTGTTCAGTCTGGAGAAAAGGAGGCTGAGGGGAGACCTCATCACTCTCTACAGCTACCGGAAAGGAGGGTGTAGTGAGGTGGGTGTTGGTCTCTTCTCCCAGGTAACAAGCGACAGGACAAGAGGAAACAGCCTCAAGTTGCACCAGGGGAGGTTTACACTGCATTATTAGGAAAAATTTCTTCACCAAAAGGGTTATCAAGCACTGAAAGGGAAGTGGTGGACTCATCCCCCGACATATTTAAAATGCATGTAGATGTGGCATTTAGGGACATGGGATAGTGGTGGACTTGGCAGTGTCAGGTTAACAGTGGGACTCGATCTTTTCCCACCTACATGGTTCTATGATTCAGAGAACCTCGGAAACGGTTGTAGCTCACAAGACGGATCTGTCCACACAACAGTTACAACAGACGCAAGTGGCTGCCGGCCACCTGCTGAGATCCCTGCTGCCAGCACCCACCCCTAGCTGCAGACAACAGAAAAAGCCGCCTCAACTCACAATATAATAGCATTGGGCCTGTTTACAGTCTGGTAATCTGTATTCAAGTCTCTCAATCACCAAGTATAGGAAGTTAATCTCATTTTCTCAAATGAAGATAAATAATTCAATGCACAGAAGATAAGAATTGGCAGGATACCAGCAAGTTCAACTGTAAACAGAATAAAACTGCAATTAAAAAAAAAAAAAAAAGGCTGCTAATCAGTACTACTACTCTTTAGCCCATAAAGGGCCTACTCTTATTTAAAAATGAATCCAGGAAGATTGATTTTTTTTTAAATTATTATTTTATTAAAAAAATCAAACCAAGCACATACATTTGTACTCAAGAAGGTGTAACTGCTTCAGTTTTGGAAGGCATCCAGCTGCTATAGCCCATTTCTGCAACAAGAGTTGTGAAGTCCTTACAGAAGGTAGAGGGGTCACCACCAGAAGTTCAGAGGGTCAGTGTGTCCCACAGGATTACAGAACAGTCTGGAGGAGTGTGGAGATGGGAGGAGGACGACCACCAACTGGCATCACTGAGATGCTGAGTATTTCCATGTTACAAGCCAGACCCTACGCCCAGAAAACATGTGAGGGTTTATTGGTAATACTCTGCACTACTTGAAGAGAGAAGTTAAGAGCACTCATCTGCCCCCAGGGCTGTATGCACTTGCTGAGTGGAGGCATTTCCCCTTGGAAAGACAAAGACAGAGATGTTCCCCTGTTCTGTTGACCTTTGGGGTTATGAAAATAGCAAGAGAGATTAAGAAAGAAAATAAAAATCTATGGAGACATTTTAGTTCTATATGAGATTTTTAATTTAAGTAAACCAGATTCCAAGAAAAACAAGGATTATTTGGTAAAGGCCTTGGAATGTTTGTTTATAAATAAATAAAAAACCCAAAGGGCCAGGCTTCAATCCATCAGAAAAGAAAGGACCAGGTAAAAAAATCCAGCTCCCATATTTAAGATTACTTTGAACAGAGTAGATCTGTTGGAATCTGGCATTAGTATTCCCATGTTGTCCCATACTAACTTGAGATTAGTACTCCCATTTCAAGGGTATATCAAATGTTCAATATTTCCATTTTTAGAGGAGCTGAGAATGAGAATGTTACATTGAGAATGTTTCAAACAGAAAAAAAATCTAAAACACATTAGGAAACACTTTCTCATTTAGCATAAGAAGTCCTTTTAAATAAATACAGTGTTCAGTAAAGGACAATGAAATATTACCATTTCCCTACTTCCCCCCTCCATTATTTTGATCTTTAGCGCTACATATTCAGAAAACGTTGTTAGTGTGCAGTAAGAATATCAAAACAAAAAGGTACCACAGTTATCTACAGCGCAAACGTGACTGTCGAACTGATGTTGCCTGGGTGGCCTTTCCTCCATCGGTATTTGATGCAGTCATTCCATTTAGATCTATTTCCAGAACCTGTAAAAACCCAGTGCTATTGCTAAGCAGGTGAATACTGAAGCTGTTAAAAAACAAACAAAAAAAAGAAATGAAATAATTAGCTGAATGATAAATTGTATCACCTTCTGCATACAGGAAGTTAACTGCAAACAGATGGATAAAAACTCCAGAGCAGAGCCTCCTGAACTTCCTCAATTGCTGCAGGTGTGATAGAATAATTTTAGAAGACAATGACTTGTCTTAGATGTAATATCCTGCACAGTAGCACTGCCCAGGTGGTGAGACGGGAGGTCAAATTCCGCAGCCTGAAGAACTATGTTTTCAGGGACACATCTGAGTAACTGTGCAGGATAAAACAGAGCACAACAGGCTACAGTCACTTTTACTATTGTCACCCATCTGTTGGAAACTGTATTACAGGAGAGATGGCTGTACAAAGTTGTGCATTAGACATAATTAAAATGGTTGAAAAATTATTTCCCACTAACAAAATGACAATGAGCTAACAATACATATATCTGACACAACACTAGGATATCTAGGCAGCACCTCTGAAGCCTGATGAATTGTCTTTTAAATTTGCTAAACTGCTGTTTCAATTAGTGTTAGAATAAAGCTAATTATGTTTCCCTTTGAACTTGTTCTCACTTCCAAATATAACGCATTACTCTCTTTTTATCCAGCTCCAATACAATAAAAATTTCACTGGTTATGTATGTATTGAGAAGACAATCTCGCATCAGAGTGAAATTTGTTCTGCTTGGCAGGGAAAATACAAGTACTGCCACACTGAAACTGTGTGTCATGGAGGGCTGAATGGGAGGTGGAACTGGTCACTCTCAGCTTGGTCCTGAATGGCAGCTCACTTTCAGGGTAACTTCAATCACCTCAGGAGAACTTTCATAGCAACTGCCACACAAATGCCTGCCCTGCAGCAAGCAGAGGTACTGTCACACTAGACAAGGTATTTGGGCTTCTTTCTTTTCTTTTCCTTTTAAGATCATGACCATATTCCTCCTAATCCCAGTTCTAGGCACAATCCTAGTCCAACCGCAGCAGTGTCTGCATGCTCCCAGCTCTTCCGTGTCACATTTCTTCCAGCTGGGGGCAGGGGGATCTCCCCCACCCAATCCCAGTTGCCTGCTGCTACACAACTGCCTTATTGAATTAACTTAGCATATACTCTTGAATAAAATCTTATACATCCAAAGTACAATACTGGTACTCACCTCCTTGCCTATCACATACCTGCCAAATAACGTATCGTATCAAGTTTATTTGATTCCATGAGTGTTTTTAAGGAAGCTATTTCAGTGTCAATTTTATTACTGATTTCTGAGATAACACTGTTGGTACTTGAATCCTGTAACATTAAAAGATAGCACATATTTAACAATGATCTCTAGCCCTTTCAACTGTTCAAAGCTAAACAAGAATACCATGCTACCAGCAACAAGAAAGAGAAACAAATTTCCAACCTATCACTGAAGTAAAATATGTAAATGGCGAGAGACCTTAGAAGACACACAACAGCATTTAATATGATCCAGGAAGAATATTGGAGAGAGAGAGAAAGAGAGAAAACTCTGATCATACAGACACTTGTCTCTGATATGCCAGTGCCTCCTAAAGGACCCACCCTACAGTGCATAGACAGTATACTGAAATTTTTGCAAAACAAAGGTTTAAGGATTCACAAGCCACATCCAAAAAAGGGATGGGACACATCCATCTTCAGCCTCTTAGTCTTCAGCACCCACTCGCAGCTTTGAGGACTTCCAGCCCTTGAAATACTTGCTTGGCTGCAGGCAGCTGAACCACTCCTCTGCTATAGCTGCCCAGCTCATCTAGTAATATCAGGAAGGGCAGCACGGCAGTGCACACCCCACCTAGAAGAACCTGCACGTAAAATACTCCAGAAGCAAGAGACAAGGCTTTTACGCTTCCTTCTGCCTGAACAGTGTTCAGTGCCAATCTCACAGGCCAAGGCAATAAATGTGTACAACAGACGCGAGTGACACAGCCCAGCCTGTTGCTTTACCATATTCAAAAATCTACCAACTTTCACACAAGTTTGGGGTTTACATAACATGCAATAAGTAACTGTATCCTGCTCAATACAAAATGAGTTTTGTTCAATACTTACTTTTTTATGAAACTCTGTAGTTGCTTCCATCAGTTTCCTCTCCTGATCTGTAAACTGTGGATAAAAGATAAATTACAATTATAGTATTGGAAAACAAGACCCAGAACTGATAAGGGTATATTCACAGACAGCTTACCATATCTGTCACTCTGCTCCTTTCCAGGTTTATGTCTAGCTTGCTGTCAGTTCGGATTTTACTGGTTTCATTCTTTAAAGCAAAGAAAGATTATGAAAATAACTATTTATTCTCCCTAACAGGAGTGAGGAGGTACTTGCTGTTTACTTACCATTAGCTGCTGTTTAACTTGATCTAATTCAATTTTCATTTTCTAAGTGCAGAGGAGAAAAAAAAAAGATTTTACAAATTCAGGAAACTGCTGACCAAGTTAATCACTCATGTAAGAGTTACTACCGCATGCACGCAATTATCCTTCCATTATTTTTCTCCCAATGGGACAATTTGTTCTTGATTAAATATCCTAACTGGTGTGTTCAATTTGTATAGCCACATATCATCTGCTGGGAATTTTGCTCCAAATAAAGGGATCATTTTGTAACAATTATGGTCTTGTTATCCTGAGACTAGAGACAGCAGAAAAATACCAAAATGCTATCAAGAAAAAGCAAAACGTGTCTCAATCACCAGTTTAATTAAAAATTGTTGCAAAGAAACAGCTGACTATTCTCCCTGCATTGTGCGGTTAATGGTGACAAGACTGTACCAGAATCACCCTTAAACAAAATTACAGATGATTCTAAGATGTGTAGATTTTTTTTCCTTACAGAAGAACTGAGCAAGTCTTATCATGTGAAATATATTTTTATGTGATCACAGAAGTTGTAATATACAACCTTCAACTCTGACAAAAGTATCCAGAATTACTTTTATGCTCCTATTTCATTCCATAAAAATGTACAACAGGTATAACCCAATATATATTACAATTTAACCGCTTAATTAAAAATATTTATTAGTACCTCATTCTCTGCTCTCAAGTTTGCAAATTCACTTTTCTCCAGGATGACCATATCTTTTCGAATGGAGTCCAAATGTGCCATTATCTGCTGTAAAGTTATCTCCTTGGAAACAATAAAACATGTCATTGATTAAGTTGCACACTTTCTGGCAAGTAAAGGAAAGATTTTTAGGTGCAAAAATACGAAATTAGCTACTGCAAAGCATAAAAATGGGGAGACTCTCCAACAAGAAAGTGACAGAAACACTGAATTTTATAGCTGCAATTTGTTTGAAAGACTCAAGGGATTCCGGTTTTGTGCTTTTTCTGTTACTTTAATCCATTAACTCTGAATTTAAGCAGAAAAGCCAGAGGTACTAGTCCAAGTAGCTATGAAATGAAATAGATCCAAAGCTACAGGTTAGTCCTTCATTCACTTCCATTTTCAATACACGTTCAGTAGTCTATGAAGCATTAATTGTTGGTTTGAATCCAGTTCCTAAGTAAGCACTTCCATTTCTTGCCCACAAAGTCATCAAAAGCCAACGACTTAATGATCTGAATAGCACACTGTCCTCTCAGCGGTGTGGGGCATGCTAGTAGAGCACTGATGGAAAGCAACAAAAAAAGCCTTCCTGGTGTTTGGGCTAACAAGTTCAGAATTCAACTGCTATTTACAGAGTTAAAAAAAAAAGAAAATTAAGGAAGAAACTTTATATTTTAGAATCTTGAAAGCAATACTCCTTTCGTAAGGAAATCACCCTGCTACTTAGCATGGAAAATGACGTATCTCCGTGGGATTCTTTAAAAGACAAGAGCCAAAAAAATTAAGAGTTCTCATTCAGACTACAAGCAAACAGTATTTCTCAGATCCTGTGCTGAACTAAATTCATTAAAATATGCCCTGACCCAGCTTCCATTGAAGTCTGACTACTTCGTTGAACACAATGAAGTCTTCACAATTCCTGGGAAAACTTCAGTTGCATTTACACTGAGGAACTAATTTGCCTCATCCCATCTTAAAACATTCAGCCTCAACACTGACTACACTATAAAAATCAGCATTTCTGGCCAGCACAACTCCATACAAATTATATTCGACATACTGACTTTCTTTATGTATAACAGGATCTCCAAAAAGAAAGATTTCCATTTTGATGAAAAAAATAAGAGACTCAGAAGCTCTTGTCTTCTGAGATTTATAGAAAAAAGTCAGATAACTTTATTAAGAATAAATGCCTGTTGGAAGTCAGGCTCAGCAGTTTAAATAAAATAGCAATGAATGCCTAATTGCATTAACTCATTGAAGAAAAATGGCATGTAATTTCAGCTTGCACAGCCTTCCTGAGTAATTATTAAAACCATTACTGTGCATCAGAGCTTTATTATCCTGGACCAGATGCTTAGCCTACATGAAAAACTAAAGTTCTTTTTATTTTGGCAATTTGTTAAAACGAAACTTGTCACCATCTCCATTATCAGCAGAAAAACCAGCTACACTACTTCACTGATTCACTGCCTCCACGTATGTCCACAAAGACACATCTCCGCAAAGGAAACACCTCGATGTTCTGCTTGAGCGCAGGCTGCGGCACTGACCTGACCAGTGCAAACAGCTACGTTTATACCAACAATTAAATAATTCAGAGCCCAATTCTGTCCCCAAGGGCACATGACACACCACAGATTATGTCCAGCTAGCGAAAATCTCCTCCTCCTAAATCAAGGTGGCTCTGTCTACCCCCACCTGGTGGGAACAGTTCCTGGCGCTACACTTTCACATAAATTGGGCCCAGGTCAGGGAGACGGAGAGCTGTCATGGGTCAAAAGTCAAACCAAGGCACCGCAGTGGCTCTGGACAACCATGTGGTGCTGTTTGTGCCCACACCCAAGACCTGTTTAGCTTTTACTATAGATGTAGCTTTAGAGATTGAAACACAGAATAAAATAATTGAATGGTTTTAATAGTAGTTCTTAGTCTATGAATAGGCAAATAGGACAAATACAGCGCGGCCTGAATAGAGCTGACAACTTTATTAAAGTTTAGTGAAAACACTGACAATTTTCTGATATTTCAGGTGGTCTTGTTATCTCTCTTCTGCCCTCAACCACTGTAAAGCACAGTTAAAAGTCTGGTTTCACCCTCAGAGTTTTTCAGCAGTAAAGGAAGCAATCCCTGCGTTACATTTATAGATTGGGGCTGCATTTGGAAAACACTCCTGCGAGATGAAAGGTGTAAGATACTACTATTCTTAACACCACCTTGAAACTTAGGAAAACCTATCTGTGGAGTGCTCATAGTGCTATAGAGAGCTCTCACTTGTCTTTTAAATACACAAAACCGAGCCATTATAGTTACACAACACTGTACATGTACACCATAGATCACATTTTACCTGCTGAGCCTGAGTAACCATATCCTTATAGACTGTGTCTAAGCTGACATTCGACAGGGTTACTAACGCTGACACGATGGTCTCTGCTTGTTCCTTTGCAAAGCCTAGAAGACAGTTAAAGGATGACAAGTTAAGGAAACATTAGAAAGCTGTATGAAGAGAAGAGCAAGAGGTACACAATAAACTGTGACACCCAAGTGCAGTACCTAACCACGGTGGGAAGTCACACAATCACTGAAAACAGACAGCGAGGTGCCAGTCACTGTCACTTTTAACTAGAAAGAACACAGACTTAATGCTGCAAAAATTTGAAGCACATTAACTTTTAATATATACTGAAATAGCCTATGCACGCAGCTGACAGGACCAAATTTCTGTACATTGTTAAACTGTTTGTACATTACAAAAATACTTCAGTGAAGTTTTACTTTATAATGAACTTCTACAAATTCTGTTAAAACCAAACTTACTTTGAGAGACAAAGCATGCATCCTACAGAATAATAAAATTAAAAGCAAGTATGCATATACTGAAATTATTCTGCACAGATATGAACACATACAAAACTGATTTTAAAACTGCTGCATTGGTTGCCTGCAGAATTAATTCAAACTTGGATTTTTGCTTTCTGATGATAAAAATTACACTTTGTTCATAGCTTGGTGCAGTTTTGAAGCATTAAAGATGATGTGTGGTGAATAGTGGAAAAAACCACGTCATATTAGCCATATCTGATCTAGTGCTGAGAGCTTTGGCCCCAAGGATGTATTTCCAGCAGTCTCACTGATGTGTTATATTTCAATTGACCCATGTGATCAAGTGGGATCAATTAACTTTTTGCTGAAAAATCCTTTCAAGATAAATTATGTAAAGAAATATGCCACTGCTCCCTTCTAAAATGCTGGTACTGTCAAGCTGCATCGTTGGTTTACGTTACTAAGAGCTATGCAAGTGTTATGACAGCTTCCTTCCACTAAGAGGTGTGATAGCATTGCTTCAGGTTCTCTGAATTTTCAGGGTTACTTAGGTTTTTGCCAATTCCTTATTTTGTTCTTCCTATCTATCAGGAACTGTCCTTGCTGCATGGAAGTTTAGAAAATGCGGAGAAACTAATATAAGCAAGAGAACGGAGCATGAAAACAAGTTTGAGAAAAACTATATGCCTCTCTAATTTTTCTGATATATATAGGTTTTACCTATAAAGCCCTGTCACTGTAGGGCTGCAGTATTTGTGTAAGTTATGAAACAAATTAAACTGAATGACAACACAGTGTTAGCGTGGAGTCAGCACTAGACAGACTCCACCCCATTAGTTCTAAAGGAACTCAAAGAAGAAATGCTGAATCAGTACTGGGGAAAAGTAACGTCTCACAAATTACCTCGGTTACCCGAGGACTAGAAAATGGCAAATAGAGTGACAGTTTTTAAAACATATCCAGAGGAGATGTATGGAACTACAGGCTGACAAGTTTGACATGCATGAAAAAAAAAAACCCAAAACAAAAACATTGTTAGTGGACTACTAGGAGTCTTATAATACATATTATCATTAGACCCAAATAGTGGAGAAAATGCTAACCTCAGATTAGATAAAGTTCCAACTGTCACTTAAGGGAAAGATCTTGGGAAACTTGCCTACAGCTACAAATAAGGTAAATCTAATGTAATAGTTATTTGTATGGTTACAGAGGCATCCAACTGTGTCAATGCCTCTCCTTCACCAGCCTCCTCAAGAGGCTGCCAAAACATTTTATAACACAAAGTATTGGTACTCCAGGAAAATTAATAGCACTCAAAGTTATAGTACTGTCCTGGATTCGGCTGAGGCAGAGTTAAATTTCTTCATAGTAGCAAGTGAGTGTTTTGGATTTGTGCTGAAAAGAAGGCTGCTAACATGCTGATGTTTATAGCTGCTGCCAGGACAGTCAAGGACTTTTCAGCTTCTCTGCTGTGCCAGTGTCTGCAGATGCAGGAGAAGCTGGAAAGGAGCACAGCCCCAGTTACTAGCCTAGGATTCAACCTTGGATTTAGGATTGAGACCCAAACAGGCCAATAGTCTGTTCGATATCATGCATGTCATGCCCAGTATATAGATGAGGATCTGTCTGGAAGTTTTCTCTCTCTCTCGGTCACCCCACTCTTGGGGTTATCTCACACTCTTGGTTTGCTCTTGGTCTCTCAGACAGGGGCTTATCTCTTTTCTAGGATTGCTGTTTCAGGACTCTCCCTGCTTTGGGATCATTAGCTGGGAACAGGCTGAGCCTTGGTCATCAGGTGGTGAGCAGTATCACTGTGTATCACTCATTTGTATATTTGTACACATCATTATTATTAAGTTTTGTTGTAGTTTAGTTATTAAATTGTTCTTATCTCAACCCACAAGTCTCTTCTCCCTTCACTCCTTTAATTCTCTCCCCCATCCCCAGGAGGGGGAGGGTGAGCGAGCTGTGTGTTGTTTTCTGCCAGCCAGGGTTCAAAAACACTACAAGCACTTAAACAAAAAGTTTTTCTTTGAATTATTTATCAGATATCACTTACCATGGGCTTCCAAATCCTGAACTAAAGCATGGGTATCAAAAGTTACCTTCCTCTGCTCCAGGGGAGTGATGTCAACTCTTCTGACATCATATGACTTCCTAATGAGTGTGGCAGCAAAACCTGGAAGTGACAACATGTGCTTTAAACTTAACCTGATGGGTTTATCATGCAATACAGTAATTTAAATTTATTTTGTAACAGCAAAGCTGCATGGAAGTTGCATCGAAAAGCTGAGTCCTTTTGATAGGTTGGTTACAGCACACATCAGAAACCATCAATTCCTTTTCCACAGGAAATCTACACTAACTAGGACCCATTTATCATTTGTATAACTAGAAAGCTGTGCAACAGACAAGCATCCTGACACATCAAAAATAAAACCACCACAACCAAGTGTTTTACAATATTTGAGAAACATCACTTAAATAATTTTCCTACTTTTAAAACATCAGCAGTTCTAACACACTGCCAATTTCTTCCGGTTACAGATAACATAACTCACTTGGTTCTTCTCAGAATCCCTCTATCACATCCTTTTAACACTTTCTTCTATTGCTATTCTTTCCAGCAAAGAGAATGCCATGTGCAAAGATAAAGCTACAGTTTTTTTTTTTTTTTTTTTAGAAAGTTATGCAAATCTAACATTTAGAAAGAATTTGTTGGTTCATCAGGAAAGTAACTGGGGAAAAAACGTGATACGATGTTTGTACCTAACACTCAGAGATAGGTAAAGATCCACTCTATTTATTACATGAATGCCTTCCCACAAGATGTTTCACTGCTTTTCCTACTTTATTTCAAGCATAAATCCCTTCATCTTATCTTTGTGGGGCCTTGCATGTCACAGATTCCGTTCTGACAGATTGTTATCTAAAAAGCTCTGTTACTTTAAAATACATGATTATTTGAAACCTTTCTTGTCGCTGGCTCTCTGCCTTAACAAAAATGTTGTTCTATATCTTATCCAGACCTTTACTCAAAAGCTTTATATAATTTAAACAAGGAAGTTATATTGTGCCACTAAATAAATCAAGTCACGTGCCACACTGTGTGTACTCTAAAGAAGTGACTACAACTAAGCCAGCTGTAGCATCCAAGCCAAAGTCAGCGCAAGATTTAAGACACAAAGGAAAGATTTGTATATAAGAGCATGAACATTGAGCACCACATACAAATAATTTAAAATAACTCCAAAATTTACTGTGGAATAAAACACTCTTCTTTCACTGAGCCATAGCAGCTTTTGAACACACAGCTCTTTGTCCTCTGATTGTGTTACTGGATTTTTTTTCATTGGATTTAACATATATATTACACAGACATTCTCTCAGAAAAGCTCATATTACAGCATGAACCTTTTGGTTGCCTAGACATGCTGCTCTTTTTGCTGTCACTTCACTCCTGTGTTGACTTGATCATAAGATCATTTAGGTGGAAAAAGACCCTCAAGATCACTGAGTCCAACCATTAACGTAACACTGCCAAGTCCATCACTAAACCATGTCCCCAAGCACCACATCTACATGTCTTTTAAACACCTCCAGGGATGGTGACTCCACCACTTCCCTGGGCAGCCTGTTCCAATGCTTGATAACCCTTTAGGTGAGAAAATTGTCCTCACACCCAACCTAATCTTCCCCTGGTGCAACTTGAGGCCATTTCCTCTTGTCCCATCACTTGTTACCAGCGAGAAGAGGCCAGCGCCCACCTCACTACAACCTCCTTTCAGGTAGTTGTATAGATCCTCCTTGTCTCCAGGCTAAACAACCCCAGTTCCCTCAGACGCTTCTTGTAACACTTGTTCTCTAGACCCTTTGCCCGCTTTGATGCATGGCTCTCAGCCGAAAGCTGTCCTCAAAACTCACTGGTGTTTTCACAGACCATACCTGAGAGTCCGTTTTGTGATGTCTTTCTGCACCCCTTGGCTAACTCCCGCTGCTCCTCCCGCCTCAAACACTCTGTCAGTCCCATAAGCTCCTGAACAGCCTTCTAAACCTCCCCACGCCTCGGACTTGTCACAGCCCCACAGAGACGTTTTGCACTCTCTCACACAGGGATCACTCTCAGGCAAGCAGCCCAGCTCTCAAAACGCGCCGTGTAGCCTCCCGTGCCACCCCAGAGGCGCCGGGGCCGAG